TCTTGCGGCGCGGAGACCCGCTCCTTCGTTCGGGTCCTCGGGGGCATATCCATGCCCTGTTGTTGTCAGACATCGCTTCTTCAGGACCCGAAGCTTAAGGTCTCCCATATGGCGTCCGAGCAGATGGGGTCGGAGGATCGCGCCGCATCGCCCACGCGGCTCGATGCGACGCCCGATGGTCTCCACGCAGATGGCGGCGATGCATCGCCGACTTCGTGGACGCATCGCCGATGCATCGATGATGCATCGACGATGCGGCGCGGCCCTCCGACCCCATCTGTTCGGACCCCATCTGGGAGGCCTCCAGTCTTCAGCCCCACACCTTAGGCGATGCTTAAGAAAACTTAAGTTCTCGGCCAGGGTCTCGATTATTCTTAACGTTTCAATGTGAATCTTAAGATTTTAATAGAAATGTTGGGTTTTTATTCAAGTTCTGAGACTATGAATTTCTTCACCCATGATTTCTTAAGCATTTCGCAGGGTGCAGGGCTGTCAGACATGGATTATTCAGGATGCGAAGCGGTCCGACAAGTTCAGGCCGTCGGAGGTCTTGTGGGGGGCCAATCAGAGGGGGGGGGGGGGGGGGCGAAGCGAGGATGTATTGGCGCCCTCTTCGTCCTGGCCACCCAACGGTCTTGTCCAGGGCCCGTGTGGCACGCCAGCCATCCCCCTTCGCGCCAGGCCTGGCCAGGTCAACAGTGGGCCCATGGCAAGGTCGCTGTGCATGCCTCCGACCAGGCCAGATGGGCACGCCCACCGAAACTGGGCCTGGGATGAGGGTGAATCCTCCCCTTCCTCGTCGTGGACGCTCGCGTCATGATCCAATGCCCCAGCTGCTCCCCCCTGGGCCCCAGGTGTATTACCTGAGCGGCCTAACCTGCACGGACGACAACTTCACCCAGAAGGCGAAAGAGATGGTTATGATGTTGATTACCATGTTTTGGGGGAGAAGAGGAAGGCAAGAGGGAAGAGGAGGGGGAGGAGGAAGAGGAGGATGAGGAGGAGGGGGGCGATGATACGCAACAGCAGCTTGCTACGACAGGGTGATTTAGGTGGTCCTTTTGAGGTGGAACACCCCGGCTTCGAGGGTGGGCGAATCAAGGCCACTCCAGTGGGGCATCCCGATGAGGTCTCAATCTTTGTTTTCCGAGGGTGTTTCCCGGACATCGGATGACCTGTTTTTCCCGGCCATTTTGTGATGTTGGGTCCTCGTTTTGAAGGGACAGCGCCCCGCGTCCTTCTTCCTCCTCCTCCTCGCCCCCCTCACACATCCCTCTTCCATCGTCATCATCATGATCACGTGGACGTCATGCCCGTTCCGGCACACCCCTTACACGTTTCGTGGCCCCATAGGGAGCTCCACCGAAGGTCCGAGTGGGAGGGTTCACATGCGCCCCCCTCTCCACATCGGCACACCCCTCGCGCGCATCGTGGTCCCATAGGGAGCTCCTCCGAGTACTTTCGTGGCGCAGTTCGCATGTGGGCGTCACTCCCGTTTCGGCACACCCCTCACGCGCTTCGTGGCCCCACAAGGAGCTCCACCGACGGTCCCAGTGGCGGAGTTCGCATGTGGGCGTCCCGCCTGTTTCGGTACACCCCTCACAGGTTTCGTGGCCACATAGGAAGCTCCACCGAAGGTCCCAGATGGAGCGTTCGCATGCGGGTGTCACGCCCGTTTCGGCACACCCCTCTTGCGCTTCGTGGCCCCGTGGGGAGCTCCATCTAAGGCCCCAGAGGGAGCGTTCGCATGTGTGCGTCACGCCCGTTTCGGCACATCCCTCACACGTTTTGTGGCACCATAGAGAGCTCCACTGAAGGCCCCAGAGACGCAGTTCGCATGTGGGCGTCACGCCCGTTTCGTCAAATCCCTCACACGTTTCGTGGCCCCATACGGAGCTCCTCCGAAGGTCCGAGTGGGAGAGTTCACATGCGCCCCCTTCTCCACATCGGCACGCCACTCAGACGATTTGTGGCCCCATAGGGAGTGCCACCGAAAACGATCCTCACAACTGCGGCACTCACAACTGCATATGGTTGGGTCCTTCGCCAGGCTAGTTTCTGTGACGTGAGTTCACGGACCTGTCGACGCCATCCTGTGTATTGTTCCCAGCCATCTTGTGGTGTTGGAGCATTCGCATGTGGGCGTCACGCTCGTTTCGGCACTCCCCTCAAGCGTTCCGTGGCCCCATAGGGAGCTCCACCGAAGGCCCCAGAGGGAGCGTTCGCATGTGGGCTGCGTCACGCCCGTTTCGGCACACCCCTCTTGCGTTTCGTGGCCCCATATGGAGCTCGCCCGGAGGCCCCAGAGGGAGTGTTCGCATGTGGGCGAGGCGTTACGCCCATTTCGGCACATCCCTGACGCGCTTCGTGCCCCCTTAGGGAGCTCAACCGAAGGCAGCAGAGGGAGCGTTCGCATGTGGGCGCCACGCCCGTTTCGGCACACACAGTCACGTGGCTTCGTGGCCCCATAGGGATCTCCACCGAAGCTCCCAGATGGAGCGTTCGCATGTAGGCGTCACGCCCGTTTCGGCACACCCCGCACGCGTTTCGTGGCCCCATATGGAGCTCCATCGAAGGCCCCAGAGGATGCGTTCGCATGTGGGCGTCACGCCCGTTTCGGCACACCGTCACGCGGTTCATGGCCCCATGGGGCGCCCCATCGAAGGCCGCGTTCGCACGTGGACGTCGCGCCCGTTTCGACACACCCCTCACGCGCTTCGTGGTTTCATAGGGAGCGAGAGCTTTCGCATGTGGGCGTCAAGCCCGTGCCGGCACACCTCACACGCTTTTCGTGGCCCCATGGGGCGCTCCACCGAAGGCCACAGAGGGAGCGTTCGCATGTGGGCGTGCGTCGGGCTGCGCATTGGCCGCGGCTACTGTGCAGCCATTCGGAACGGAGCCTCGAGCTCCAAGGCTTCACCTGTGCCCGCTCACTCTTGCCTGTGTGCGTACGCTCGCGTGTGCTTGGCGCCCGCGTGTGCCCCCCTCCCCCCACAGGGTCGCAGGGTGGTAGGCACTCCCGCGCCGCCAGCGCGGCGGTGTGCCAGTACCTACCCGTATGACGCGCCTCTGGCATCTCTTGGCATTCGCGATGACGACGAGAACGGACGTCGACAACGTTTTCGACGACGGCATCTTCAGGCGACGACGACGACGACGGCGGCGGCGGCGGCGGCGGCGACGACGACGACGACCCCGCCCCCCGGAGGCGTGCGCGCAGAGGGCCGCCGCCGCGCACGGCCTCGCCCTGGCGGGCCCCCTCCGCGCCGCCCGCCGCCCCTCCGCGCCGTGCGCCTCTCCGCGGGAGCGGGCGGCGGCCCCTCGGCGGCCTCTTGAGCGCCCGTGGGCGGCCTCGGGCGGCGGCCCCCGCGCGCGGCCTCGCACCGGCGGGGCCCCCCCGCCGCCCCGCCCGCCTCTGGCGCTCGGGCGAGGTGCGGCACGAACGAGGTGGGTACGGAAAGAGTGGGCACGGTGCCCAACAGCAGCTCCTGTTCAGTTTGAACAGGGTTCGCTGTCCACGCCGCCGCGGCCCGTGCCCACTCGAGACAGGAGGCCGCCTGCCCAACAGCGGCCGCTGTTGGTTCGGGGCAACATAGGGAGGGGGAGGAGGAGGAGGGAGGGAGAGGGGAAGGGGGAGGAGGAGGAGGAGGAGGAGGAGGAGGAGGAGGAGGAGGAGGAGGAGGAGGAGGAGGGAGAGAGATGAGGAGGAGGAGGAGGGGGAGGAGGAGGAGGATTTGTTGTTGGGCACTGTGCCCATTTTTTCCGTACCCGTTTCGGGCGTCCAAGGAGGTGCTGGCGCACGGGCGTGCGAGGGTGAGGCCAGAGAGCGAACGAGCCCTCGTCATTTTTGGCCTCCCGCCGCCCTGCTCGCGCGCGGCGCGGCATGTGCGCGTGCGCGCGGACACCGCGGCCTTCTCCCGGCCGAGAGGAGGGGCCCACAGGCCGAGACGCGCCGCCACCCAGAATGTGGCCGAGATCGGGAGTGCACCACGCCCTGGCGGACTCCTGAGGGGGTGGCGGCAGCGGGGCGCCTGGCTCTGGGGGGTGGGGGGTGGCGCGCTGCCGCTAGCCGCCACCTAGCTGCCGATAGCAAGCAGCTTGCCGATACGCTGCCCATGGCTGCCGAAGCTCCTCCGACTCGGCGATGCACTGCCCACAGATCGGCGACGGGCCGCCGATGGCAGACAGCCGCTCGTTGCGAAGCTCACGTTGCCCGAGGCGGGGCCGCCTCGAGGGCTCGAGGCCGCGAGGGCCCTCGCTGGCTCCCAGGGGCCTCCAGAGGCTCCCTCTTCTGGGGGCCTCCGGGAGGCCGCCCAGGGCGGGCTCTGAGATCCTGGCGTTGCAATTTTTTCAAAGCGGGCGCTTCCGCCCAGTTGTGGGCCTCGGGGCCCGCACAGATCGATGCGGCTCATGGCGCGGAGAGATACGGTCCGGGGCTCCAGTCGTTTTTTTTTTTGCCGTTGCAAATGTTTGGGCAACGTCGGATCTCAGGAGGGGAGGGGGCAGGGGGGAGGGGCCAGCTTCCGCGGGCGACCTGCGTGCACCGTACCGCGTTGTCCTCTCCCGAGGCGTCATCGCTCCTCGGCCCAGGAGCGGTGCGGTGCACAGCTGTTCGGCCCCCCGAGCCGAAGCACTGTGCACCGTTGTTTCCTTTGAGAACCGACGTTGCAATCAAAATTCAGCGTCGCAACAAGCATCAAGTTCAGAGCCCCGGACCCTACTCTGCGTTTGGTAATAAGCGTGGCGGGGGGGCGCCACCTCCGCCGACCGCCCCCAAATCGACCCTGGCCGCAGGGAGATCTTGCCGCGCGACGTCGACCCCAGTCGGCCCACGCCCCCCGCTGCGAAAACCAGACCCCAGGCCCAGGAGCGCAGCCCCCGTCGGAGGGGGACCCCCACGCTGTTTACCAGACCCGGGGCATCTTTCGGCAGCATGTTGCGAGCCGTGAGGGCCCTGGGGCCCGAGGCTGGGCGAGAAGCACCCGCTTTGAGAATTTTCTGCGACGCCCGGGTCTCAGGGTTGGAGCGAAGCCTGACGAAGGCAGCCCAAACATTTGGTATCGCTCGGACGTCTGCGTTTTTCTCGGCGGGGACAAGCGAGGAGCATCCTGGACCATCTGGCAAAAAAAAATCACACACTCGCACGAAACCGAAAAATGCACGGGGAATGGACGTCCGAGCGATGGCGAGAACATGGTACGGTGCATGCTCGCCATTCTCGCAAAGCTGCCACCGCCGCCGTCGCCGTCGTCGGCGCCGTCGCCGACGACCGCGACGTCCCTGGCAGGTGGCGCCCGACACGTCGCCCCGCGGGGCCTGCGTGGAGGGCGAGGACGACGCGTACGACTTCGGCTCAGGCCGGCAGCCAGGGGCAAGAGCGGCATGCCGTACGCTGAGGTCCGAGGTCGAAATCTTCAGATCCTGGCGTGGCATGTTTCTCACAACGAGCGTTTCCGCTCAGCTGTGGGCCCCAAGATCCTCACATACCGATCCTGCTGCTCGAAAATGACCCAGCAATATAGGGTCTATGGCTCCGGTCCTGATTGTTCCCGCGGTGCAGCATGTTTTTATGGCTACGTCAGATCTCAAGATACTCTGAGATCCGACGTCGCGAAAAACTGGAGCATCGTGAATAATCACCACCGGAGCCCTAGATATGCCCCATCTTCTGGCGGCATCTCTCGGGCCTGATCGATCCATGAGAGCCCTGGGGCCTGGAGCCTTGGCGGAAACGCTCAGCGTGAGAAATTTGCAACGCCTGGATCTCAGGGTAGAGGGTAGTAGGCGTGCACATGTTTCAGAGGAGAAAAAGGTACCCATACCTCTACCATCGCCCCTGTTTTCGCCTTTGCGGGCCTCCTTGGAGGCCCTCGTTGCCACCTCTGGATTCGCCTCGAAAATCTTGACGCTTCGCGTATCCCCACCAGCCCATCCAAAGCCGATACCCAGGCGAGTTGAGACGATCATGCGGGAGGCTATCTTGATCCATCTTGATCTATATTGAGCCATTTTGGAGGCCATCTTGGGGTCTCCTCAGGCCCTCTTGGAAACAGTTCGCCAGGCGAATGGAGGTGTTGTTGTGAGAGGTTATCGGAGGTCTCTTGGAGCCATCTTGGGGCTCTCTTGGGGTCCCCTTCGGGCCCTCTTCGGACCCTCTTGGGGCTCTTTTGCAGCCATCTTTGGGCCCTCTTTGGACCTTTGGGGCGGGTCTCAGAGGTCTCTTGGGGCCGCCTTGGCCCCGGTAACTCCAAAGGAGGGGGGGTCCTCAATTCAGGTCCCCCCCTGGGAGGCTTCAACATGCGGTCTTGGTGCCCTCTCTGGACGCTCTTGGGGCAGTCTTGGGCGCTCTTGGGGCCCTCTGGGAGCCCTTTTGGGCTCCTCTTGGGGCTCCCTTTGGAGCCATTTTGGCCTCTTGGATGGTCCTTGGAGGGTTCGGAGGGCACTTGTAACCGTCTGGGCGCCTTTTTGGGCCTCCTGCGAGGCCCTCGTTGCCGCCTCTGGATTCGCTTCGAAATTCTGGTCAGAACGCACTCCAGGACATTTCCGTTGAGTTGCTGTATCGGCACCTTTTGATTTCCCTAGTGTTGAAGACGCCTACTGCGAATCACCGCGGTCCCTGCCTTTTGGAAGCGCCTGTGTGGCCGAACGTTGCGACCAGAGCTCGGCCAGGCTGTCGTGCTGTGTGTTCCCCCAGCCGTTGACGAAACCCTTCGGGGACACGGGGTGGGGAGAAGAAGACGAGGAGGAGAGGGATTAAAAAGGAGGAGGACGAGGAGCAGGAACAGGAGGAGGAGGAGGAGGAGGAGGAGGAGGAGGAGGAGGAGGAGGAGGAGGAGGAGGAGGAGGAGGAGGAGGAGGAGGAGGGAGACGCCGCACTGGTTGCGGACCAACACGCCCAGCGACCTTCCGTCTCCCTGCACAGGGAGAGCGCGCCGTGTTGCGGGGCCTCCAGACGCAGTCTGGAGGGGCGGGGGTGGCAGCGGCCCCCTCGCTGCGGCCACGGCTGCCTCCATGGCGGACGCCGTGTGAGGTGCCCCCGGCGCTGCCTAGCGCCCCCGGCCCACCCCCCCACCCTTGCTGGGAAGCACTGGCGCCCCATGCGCCCTTTCGCCAGCGTCGCGCCGGCGACCCCTCGCGCGCGCCGTCCGCCCCTTCCTCGGCGGGGCGGTGTATGGATCCCGCAGAGGGCAACCCCCACCAAGCTGCAGCGTGCTGGTTTCGGTCGGCCACCCCGCCCAGGTCGCCGCCGTAGGGTCCGCAGCCTCGTCGCGAGTGGCTTTTCTTTCTTCTCTGGCCCCTGGCCTGGTCTGTCTGCTTGCGGTTGCTTCCCCACGTGGGGAGGGGTCGGGGCCGCCGCTTTTTGACGAGCCCGTCCGGGATTTTGACCGTCCAGTCTTCGTGCGATGTCTGCAGCGAGGCGTCGGGTCAAATTTCAGTATGGGCTTCGTCATTTTCCGAACGGCTCCGTGAGCCAATCCGAGCCCCCCGAACCAGAGTGATACGTTTCTCCGAAGGAGTTCAGGAGGGGAAAAAACACACAGACACAATTAATCGGCGATTCCCAGAAAATATGCAAAAATATGGGAATTGGGGGGGAAGACAAAAACCCAGAAAATATGAGAAAATATGGGGACTATTTTTATTTGTGTGTATTTATTTGTGTGTTCTAATTTCCCTTTAGTATTTTGTTGCGCCGTCAGATCTCAGGGTGGGGAGGGGGTCCATCGGAGGAGCTTCGGAGCCCCGAGTTGTCAGGTCAGGGGGTGGTCAGGAAGAGCTCCTGATTCGGACCCCCCGTTTTCGCGCCAGGGTCTCCCCAGATTTCTCTCACGGGGTTTCCTGGGTAACATTGTGCCCCATGTAGATACGATCCAGTACTCTCCTGAAGCAGGAGTTACCCCAGGTCAAGCGGTTCCACTGTTCTCCCGGACCGCACGTGGGACGCCAGCGAGGGCCATCCCGGATACATCGGGTGCCCGAGAGCTCGATGAATACCCCGCGTCGCTTGGTTGGCGACAGAGCCAAGAACTTCGGCGAAGGAAGCGTGGTGTACACATCTAGCTCCTTCCAGTCCAAGGATGATAACATACTGACACCGCTGCCCATCCTCGTGGCCACGGCTGGATTCGCTTCGAAACCCTGGTCAGAAGGCGCCCCAGGTGGGTGCGGTATCGGTACCTTCTTGTTTACCCAGGATGCCCCCAAGTTTGTTGCATTGTCTGAAGCCCGTCGCGGTGAGGGGCCCATCCTTCAGGGCCCCATCTTTGAACCTCTCGGGGGGGTCCCGCGCTGGCGGAGAGTCCGTCCGCGGTCCTCTGGACTTTCTGCTCATATGCGCCCTCCCGCAGTCCGATATCCTCCTCGGGTGGTGGCGCGAAGCCCCAGGCTGATGGCTGCAGCTGGGTGAGCCCAGATTTCCGATATCGTATGCCGGAGGCGATGGGGCCTGGCCATTCCGATCCGATCTGCGAGCTCTGCCGGCGGGCACCCCCACCCGGACATCCCGGCGCCGATTCAATCTCCTTTGCTTATGTGGTGGCGACGGGGGTGGGGCCCGGGGTTTCTGTTCCTTCTGTTGATCCTCCTTCTCCGCATCTAGACTCTGGGTTCCTGTGCTGGATCCCCGCGGCGGCCGCCCGTGGGCTTCCGGCCACTGGAGTTGGCCGTCGGCGGCGGCGAGCGGGCGTGCAAGGCCTGGGTTCGGTCGAAGCGAGGGGCGGCGCTTCACAGCTCGAGGGTCCAAGAAGGTCTTGCTCGTCAAGGTGACGATGACGATTGCGACGATAGCGACGACCACGGTGGTGGTGGTGGTGGTGGTGATAACGAGGACGATGTCTTTAGTGGTGATCGTGCTTTTGATGACGCTGCTTCCGATTTTGATGCGGATGACGCTGCTGCTGACGATGATGGTGCTGTTGCTGCTGATGCTGATGATCATGAGGAATCTGTTGTAGCTGCTGCTGGTCATGAAGCACGATTGCAGCCAAGACGCATGACTACGGACCACTTCGAGCTCCGTAGGGGCTCTGGTTTCCGGGCCGTTCCTCAGACTTCGGCCGGATAGCCTATTCGTGGTGCAGGTTCGCCTAGGCCCCCCAACCCTTCGACCCTCATGCAGACTTCCTTACGGTAGCACGATGGCTGTATAGTGGTGATGGCGACAAAGACGACTGGCGATGGTCGCGGTGATGGTGAGGATGCTAGCGATGGTGAGTAGTAGTTGTGGTTGCGACGATATTGATGCCGATGGTGATGACGATGACGCTGACGATGACGAAAGCGATTTTGACGATGACCAGGATGATGACGACGGCGATGACGATGACGATGATGATGATGATGATGATGATGATGATGATGATGATGATGACGATAATGCTGATGCTGATGCTGATGCTGATGCTGCTGTTGATGTTGATGATGATGATGATGATGCTGATAGCGACGATGCTGCGGATGATACGATTATGTTCATACATATGCTGGCGATGGTAATCACAACCATGATGATGCTGATGATGATGCAGCTGCTGCTGATGACGCCTATGCTGACGATTATAATGATGCTAGTGATGATGATGACGATGACGAGAAGATGACGATGACGATGCTGATGACGATGATGATGATGATGCTGATGTTGATGCTGATGATGATTATGATGTTGATGCTGCTGATGATGCTGATGCTGCTGATGATGCTGCTGATTATGATGACGACGATCGTGATGATGATGATGATGATGATGCTTAGGGTGATGATGACGTTGATGATGATGATGCTGAATATAATGTTGACGATGGTTTTGGTGGCAGTGCTTCTGATAAAAAAACGAAGAAGATGGTAATGATGATGATGATGGTGGTGATGATGATGATGATCATGATGATTCTGCTGATGATGGTGATGATGCTGATGATGATGCTGATGATGATGATGAGGATGATACTGATGATGCTGATGATGTTGCTGATGATGATGATGATGATGATGATGATGATGATGATGATGATGATGATGATGATGATGATGATGATGATGATGATGCTGAGGTGATGATGACGTTGGTGGTGGTGGTGGTTGTGGCGGTGGTGGTGATGATGATGACGATGAGGAGGAGGAGGAGTAGGATGAGGAGGAGCAGGACGATTGACGCGATGACGATGGCACGGATGACGATGTGATTGATGTCAGCCGCTATGATGCTGATCATGATCACGCTGGTATTAAACATATCATTGGGTTTCGAATAATTGTAACCTTTTGGAGGGCTGCCTGGCTTTCTCTTGGATATCTTGGAAGCTTCTTGGAGCCTCTTTGGCGCCCGTCGGGGTCTTCTTGGGGGCTGTTGGGTGCCTCCTTAGGCACTGTGCCGTCTTGCCAGCCTTGGTAGCCTTCTCCGGCCATGTTCGAAGCCTTGGAGAGCCCTGGAGAGCCACGGGGACGCGTCGGGCTGCTCAGGGAATCTCGGGAGGGAAGGTCGATGCATGCGACTGGCGTGATATGGGGGGGGGGGTGCGTTCGAAGACTTACGGAAGCCGTACCATACAGCATTTGGCATTCTACAATGCTTCAAAGTTCCAGGGGGCATGGGCATGGTGGCGGATGACATATCATAATCATCATCACAGTCCCGCTCGCTCAGCCTCTCTCAGTGGAACCACCAGACGCTCACCGGCCAGGTGCTGGTTTCTACGTCGACGCTACAGTCGACAAGTGGGCCAGGCACTATAACATGTACTCGTACATCACGAAGCCCCCCCCCGCCCCGTAATGTGAAAGATAGGACGTGTTTCGCTCTTCGTATTCTTCATACAGTAATTATTCGTGTGATTGCGCGCGCGTCTGCACCCGTCTATTCTGCATGCGTGGTAGGTATTTCATGAGACCGTTTTATTGGGTATCGATTTTGTGTGTGTGAGTGCAAGTAGAGATTTGGTATTCGCAGTGCAGCGTATGAGCCAAGTGATCGTGCAAATGGCACCGCCGATGACTGGCACGTCCCCATCGCACGCCGTGGTTTAGGAAATTCAGTCGCACGTCCTTCACATGGCTTGCTCGTGTCAGGACGGGGCGCCACGTGGGGCGAGACAGTGTCGCGCAAATCTGGGACACCCTCTTCCTGCTTCTGTACGTTACCTTCGGTTGGAGACTGTTTTTTGCTAGGGTCCGGCGATCACCTAGCTTGTCGGGCCCGCCCGCCTCCCCCAGATTATCTTCCTTGGCCGTTGCGCAGGTTGAAAAGGGGTACGCGACGCTGGTGCGCGCGGGCATACTTGGGGCTGCCCAAAGCGAAAAGGCTTGGTTATCGGCTGGTAACTCCCGTCCCCCTGGATAACCCGGGCTAGCGCTGAGCGCTGAGGAGTCATGATGCTGATTCCGAAGCTCCCTGATCGCCGACGGGGGTTCCCGATTGCCCACCCCGACAAGGAGGGTGCGGATTCGCTGTCGGAGGCCTCTCGCTGATCTATCGGCGATGCATCGCCGATTCCAGGCCGATGTTTCTTCCCCTGAGGTGGTCCCCTGGTGGTTTTCGATCACAGATCGGCTCTCCAGCGACCGTTCGGGACGATCGGGGCAGCCCCCGAATGCACCTGAGCGAGGCGCAGCTGCTGGTGAGCACACTGAGGCAGGAAAACTGCCGAGGACTGGCGAACATGTCCGAAATCCTCTAGCCTCTACCCGAAACGCTCTCCCTTAACCTAGCCCCCCTGCCCGTCGGCGGTTTTTCATCCTCGGGATGCGTTTCAGCAGCTGCGCCTCGACGAGAGTGTTCGGGGGTACCTGGGTCATCCCAAACGACCGCCAGGGGCAGGAGTTATGGCCCGAAGGCCGAGTGGCCACCGACCCAGAAACTCAGATACAGCCCAGACGCCGAACTGGCGCTATTGGAGGGCCCTGGGAGTGCTTTGGGTGCGCCAGGGGAGGGCCCTGGGAGGGCCCTGGGATGGCCCTCGGAGGGCACTGGGGGGCGCCCTGGGAGGGCCGCGGGAGGGCCGCTGCCCCTCACGATCCGCTTGCACGGGCCCTCCGGCGGCGCGAGCCCCTTGCCGCTCCTAAGGAGCGCCCCGTGTTGCGGGAGCGGCGCCCGGCGGCGGGCCTCACGGAATGCAGAAACACGGCCTTGCAGGGAGTTGCCCGCGCTGGTGAACGAGGCCTTCCCCATCGACGCTGGCAGGGTCGCACCCGGGCTAGGAGCGGGAGCCTTCGGGGGCAAATGATGGGAATCCTTTTGTGTCCTCGTAATGTCATTGTTGCAGCCTGTAGACTGCTTTGGCGTCGATCAGTGTCTTGTGATCGGTGAGATAGCGTCGATTTGGCGTCGATCCGCGTCGATCAGCGTCGATTGATCGTCGTCTTAGCGTCGACTGGCGTCGATGAGCGTCGATGTGGAAGAGCCAGTAAGATGGTATGAGGCTCCCACGAGTTGCCATAGAAGAGTTGGGCGCAACCGCGAACCACCACGTTGCTTTTGATAAAGCTGTGGGAAGATATGGGAAACGAATGGGAATGGGGAGTTCCAGGAAACATGGACACATCGGACATTCGCAAAGATTGTGTTGTGTCTCCCTGGGCCTCTTTGAAACAGAAGGCATCTGCATACATTGTCTGAGCTCCAGGTGGATTTTTGGACCGGCGCTGAGGCCCTGGAGGAGGAGGAGCAGGAGGAGGAGAAGCAGGAGAAGGAAATGGAGGAGGAGGAGGAGGAGGAGGAGGAGGAGGGGGAGGAGAAAGAGGATGAGGAGGAGGTGGAGGAGGAGGAGGAGGACGAGGACGAGGACGAGGACATGGTCGAGGAGGAGGAGGAGGAGGAGGAGGAGGAGGAGGAGGAGGAGGAGGAGGGGGAGGAGGGGGAGGAGGAGGAGGAGGAGGAAAAGGAGGAGCGTCCCCCCCATCTAAGTCCCGAGACTTCTTCCCTTGCACTTTTCAGAAACGCCCCCTTGGCAGACAATCAGCCATTGGGCGCATCATTCGGGCGATGGCTGCATCCGTCCAGCGGATTTCACCAGATAATTACACGAGTTGGCCAGCGAGAGCTCCGCTTCGAGACGGAACCGCCTGGCCATCCGTGTAACCGTTGCGCGAGTTCCTACATCTGGCTTAGGTTTCGGGAAGTTTCAAACGGGGGTCCCACTTCGAACAGGATCCGCGCTCCATTCGCTTCAAGCCTACGCCGCCGCGGAGGGGCTCAGCACCAGCGATCCGCAGGTCCTGGCAGGCGTGGCCACGCGACAAGCCGACATCAATACCTCGCGCACCACTTCACATCTACAACGGTTTGTGGTGCGCGCCCGTCCTCCGTCGATTCTTGACGGCCTGGCCTCCCCCCCGTTGCATATGTTCAAGCCTTTTGTCACTGATCTGCCATTTTGAAAAGTAGCCGTCCTCCACCCATGTTCCTGTCGCAAATATCTCGGGCGTTTGTGTGTGACGCTCCGGCGAGGGCACATTTGAAATCGTAACGTCCCGCCCGTCCCTGTAGTTGGCGCAAACATCTAAGACGAGTGGGGGCGGCGCTACTGCGAGAATAGCGTGTTGGAAACGAGTCAGCCTGTATCCTCGTACCGAGTGCAAGCTTTTAAGGCGAGTGCGTACGGCGCTGAGGCGAGAATCGCACCTAGGATGCGACTGGCCGTCCATCCGCGCCCTTTGTACTTGTTGGAGGCAGATAATTGGTGTGGAAGCAAACTGCCTGGCCATGCCCACGGGCACGTCTGGTGGCGCGACAATGGGGGGGGGGCTGTTTATGAGAGAGGAGGGGATGCTGCTGTTGCCGCTGCTGCTGCTGATGATGATGCTGATGACGATGACGATGACGATGATGATGATGATGATGATGATGATGATGATGATGATGATGATGATGATGATGATGATGCTGATGATGATGATGATGATGCTGATGCTGATGCTGATGATGATGCTGATGCTGCTGATGATGATGATGGCTGATGATGATGATGTATGATGATGCTGATGCTGATGTGATGCTGATGCTGATGATGATGATGATGATGATGCTGATGCTGAGATGATGATGATGATGATGATGAGGATGATGAGGAGGAGGAGGAGGGGAGGAGGAGGAGGAGGAGGAGGCGAGGAGAAGGATGAGATGCAGGAGGAGGGGGAGAGTGGGCGGGGGAGGAGGAGGAGGAGGAGAGGAGAGGAGGGGAGGGGCAGGAGGAGGAGGAGAATATGCAAGGATGAGGAGGAGGCGGAGAGAGGGGAGGAGATGAGGAGGAGGAGGAGGAGGAGGAGGAAGAGGAGGAAGAGGAGGTGGGAGGAGGAGCAGGGAGGTGGCGGAGGAGGCGGAGGCGGAGGAGGAGGAGGAGGAGGAGGAGGAGGAAGAGGAGGAGGAGGAGGAGGAGGAGGCGGAGGAGGATGAGGAGGAGAAGGAGGATCATGATGATGATGCTGATGATGATTCTGATAATGATGATGCTGATGATGATGGTGATAACGATGCCGATGGTTCTGATGCTGATGCTGATGATGATGCTGATGCTGATGACGATGATGATGCTGATGTTGTTGTTGATGATGCTGATGATGATGCTGATGACTATGATGATGCTGATGCTGATGCTGATGCTGATGATGATGATGATGATTATGATGCGAATGATGATGATGATGCTGCTGATGATGATGATGATGAAGCGGAATATGATGGTGATGGAAATGATGCTGCTGCTGCTGATGATGATGATGATGATGATGAATTGGACTTTGATGATGGTGATGATGAAATGATGCTGCTGATGCTGATGCTGCGATGATGATGATGATGCTGATGATGATGATGATGCTGATGATGATGATGCTGAGATGATGCTGATGCTGATGCTGATGATGATGATGCTGATGATGATGCTGAATGCTGATGATGGTGCTGATGTGATGATGATGAAGCTGATGATGATGATGGTGGTGATGATGACGATGATGATTATGATGCTGATGATGTTGATGCTGATGATGATGCTGATGATACTG